CAGGGCGGGCTCCGGGCACTGCCCGCCGGAGGCAGCGGGGGGGGCAGCGCTCAGACCCACCTCCTCCTCACTGAGCAGCCGGTCTCCTGCCGGGAAGAGGGGAGCACCCCTGCGAGGGCTCAGCCAGTGATGGGCACAGCCTCGGCGCCCACAGGCACCCAGGGGTGCTCCTGTCATACCCGGAGGCCTCGCCTCTCGGACCAGCCCGGCTGGCTCCGGGCCCAGGTCTACAGCAGGGCAGTAAGTGCCCGCCGCCCTCCTGAGCGGCCTCCTCTCTCATGTGACCGCTCAATGGTGACCAGATCGTCCCGCTTTTGGCGGGACAGTCCTGATTTTTAACAATTTTTCCCGCATCCCGAGGTGTTTTTAAAAAGTCACGATTTTTGGAAAGAACTTTTTTAAAACCCGCGGGACGTGGGAGAAAATTGTTAAATATCAGGACTGTCCCGCCAGAAGCGGGACGATCTGTTCACCATTGAGTGGTCACCAGCAAGAAGAAACATCTGACCCCTAAATGGCCTCAGGCTGCCGCCAGCTACCGTAGCCACATCCTGGCGACTGACCAGCGTCCCCTCCTTCCCAGGGCGACTCTGGCGGCCCCTTGATCTGCGACGGCGTCCTCCAGGGCGTGGACTCCTTCCTGATCCGCGAGTGTGCCAACCGCCAGTACCCTGACTTCTTCGCGCGCGTCTCCCTCTATGTGGACTGGATCCAGTCTGTGCTGAGAAGTGTGGGCGGTGAGGGCAGCCCCTGAGCCCCTTCCTCCAGACCCCCCCACCCCCACAGGCTGAGGCCAGAGAACAAGCCCTCATGGGGGGAAGGGAGCCGGCGCCCAGCCTCCCGGTGACGTCAATAAAACACTGAAACCCTCCTTCGGCTCCTGACTGTCCTTCCCAAGGGCCCCCAGCACCCACGTCTCCAGACCCCAGACTTCGGACGGGGTTTTGGAGCAGAAGCCTAGAAGCCAGTGTAGGGCCCAGGTCCCAGGAGTCCCACTCCCCCGGAGCCCATAGTCGTGGGTTCGAATCCGGCTCCACCCGCGTGGCCCCGGGCAGGTCAATGCCCGTGTCTGTGTCTCCGGTTCCTTGTCTGGAAAAGGGAGCCAAGAGCGCCCCCCTCACCCTCAGGAAGGGGGCGCCGTGTCCGCTGTGTCTCCAGCTCGGGGGCTGCTGGAGGACCAGCCAGGATGTCACAGCACGAGAGCCGGCCAGCCCGTGGCTCAGTGAGCATCAACCTATGAACCATGAGAACCTGGTTCAATTCCTGGCCAGGACACAGGCCCAGGTTGCAGGCTCCATCCCCAGTGCAGGAGGCAGCCGGTGAATGATTCTCTCTCATCACTGACGTTTCTGTCTCTCTCCCTCTCCCTTCCTCTCTGAAGTCAATAAAAATGTGTTTAAAAAATAATAACGGCGTGGAGTGCCAGGCCTGTGGGCTCCTGACTCAGCCAGGGGCCGGCAGGATGGCTGTCAGGGAGGCCTCCTGGAGGAGGCAGCTGTGCCTGAGCAGGAACAGGGAGGAAGCTGATCAGGGCAGAGGAACAGGAAGAGTCCGTGTGGCTGGAATGGAGCCGGCCAAGGGCTGGGGGAGGAGAGTTCAGGCAGCTGGTGGGGCTGGAGCACGCAGGGCCACAGACATGAATGGGGGCGGGTGGGGGGCTAGAGAGGAGTCCTGGGGCAGGAAGAGGGAGAGCTCATTGTAGGCCAGTAGCCACGGGAATGAGGCTCAGAGGGAGGGCCAGCCTGCTCACCGGACAGACGGACAGACGGGACTGGACTGGAAGAGACCTCTTCCGTATCGATTCCTTCTACCACCACCTGGTGTCAGCATACAGATCCAAGCAAGAGTGAGAATGCCGGGCCTGCCCTCTTTTGCAACTCTGCACACCTTACCCTAGGGTCAGGGCTAGGGCTGGGCTATAGCAGCGGCACCAGCAGCCAACATGTGTAAGACGGGGGGACACAGCTGCATGCTGGGGAATGCACCCTGGTGAGCGGCAGGGGGATGCTGGGATTCCCCGCACTTCCCAGGGGCTCAAGGCAGGGAAGTGGTTTCTATAAAAACCCCACATCGCCCTAGCCCCGTGGTCGGCAAACTGCGGCTCGAGAGCCACATGCGGCTCTTTGGCCCCTTGAGTGTGGCTCTTTGGCCTCTTGAGCGTCGGCCTGCAGACTACAGGGTCCCAGGTTTGATTACAGCCAAGGGCACATGCCCAGGCTGTGGGCTCCATCACTTGGGTGGGGGGGCCTGCAGGAGGCAGCCAATCGATGTTTCTAGCTCTTTCTCTTCCTCTCTGAAATCAATAGAAGTATATTAAAGCACACACACACACACACACACCACAGCGTTGGGGGTAAAAGAGGTTTGCTAGAGGGAATGTCGGGAACAGGAAGACCCGCAAACGCCTCTTGCTGGATTTTTGTGGGCTCGTGTGCGAACGATGGATCCAGGGCGCTCTCACAGCCAAGGCCAAACCCAGGGCTGGGAGCTGAGGACCAGGGGGTTGGGGGCCCTGGAGTGGATTCAGGAAATGACGAGCCCATGAGAGTAACAAGCAGGATGATCCGCACATGCAAATCGGGAGGCCTCGGGGAGCAAGGGGCTCCCTCAGCAGCCCCAGGGGCGTGTGTCTGTGCTGCGAGGGGCCCCAGACCCGTGGTGCCAGTCCCTACGCTCAGAGGTCCCCAGTCTGCAGCGGTGGGGAAAGGTACTCGAACCATGTTTTCTCCCTGCCCTGTGACCCGGGTCCCTACCGTGCACCTGTCTCACTTGGAAGCCGCATTCCTCGTTGCACAGGAGTGGCCCCTGTGACCATGACTCCGATTGCAAACAAGAAGCCTTGCCGTCTGCCTCCCAGCCTTTGCCCACCTCACCCTCCCGGAGGTGGTTAATGGTTAAAAGGTCCTCACTTTCTTATCTAAGAACCTGCCACGTGATCGTTCACTCCAGCCTCGGGATAATCCTATACAATGGGGTCTATTATTATCACTTCCCTTTTACAAACAAGGAAACGGGGGCACAGGCGAGTGAAGCCCGTGTCCTGAAGTTATGTGGAAGGCAAGAGGCCCAGCCAGGAGAGGAACCCAGAGTCCTGAGGCTTGACAGCTATGAGATGTGTGTACAGAGTATACAGGTGATGCTCAATACATGCAGCTTTGATTAAACGGGGTCTCCCTGTCTGAGCCACAGCACCCCTCCCCTCCCCAAAGACATGGCTGCCTCCACTCTCCCTCGTCCCCGGACTGGAAACAGGGCTGTGTATACAGTAGGTGCACACTGAATGCTCTGTGGCCTATTTAACACAATGGGGTGAGGACCCTGCCAAACAGGTAGGAGGGCAGGGGACAGGTATCTGACGAAGGGAGGGATGAGGGTGAGCACCGAGCGCCCGCTGTGTGCCAGGCCCTGGGAAAGCAGGACCATCTCCTCCATGATGAGCTATGGGGGTCCGTTTGCCTGAGGCCACAGAGGGAGCGGGAGGCCCAGAGACAGAGTCGGGCGTCCTCCACGTGCCCACCCGCTGGCTCCTGCCATGGATCCGTTGGTTCCCTCCCGTGAGCCCAGCTCCTGGTCAGGAGAACGTTGCTTCTTGCGACAGCCCTGGCCTCGGCCGTTGCAGCTGGAGCGTTCTGGGGGAGTGGGAAGAGGAACAGGGCAGGGGGGGGGGGGGGGCCTGGGCCCTGAGGGCCCCTTCGCCACTGTTTGGCCCGAGTCCTTCCGCACCCCAGATAGGAGCTCTCAGGCCTCAGGGACATCCATGGCCCCGCCCCCGCCCCAGGCCGGAGAGGGCTCTGTGAAACCTCGGGCGGCGGGGGTCAAGGCACAGAGGGGGCTCTTGCCCAGAACCCCCGCTGGGGACCAGGGGCTAACAGCGCCCCCGCGGGAACGGGAATGGGAATGAGTTCCCATTGTGAGCAACAGCCAAGGGGAGGCCGGAAGGCCAGGCCGGGAGAGGAAGACCCAAGACACAGGGAGGTGAGCAACAAGTCACCATCCGGCTGCAAACTGTGGGGCCCGAGTCAAACCCCAGCCTCTCCCCGTGTCGCTGGGTAAGGCCCACAGGGGAGGCCTCACGGTGCATCAGCTGCCTCATCTCACGTGGAACGTCGCAGCCCCCCATCCCCTGTGGAAGTTCAGGGCCGTGCTGGGGGCACCCGCTGTTACAGCGCTCTGAGCAGACAGACAGAGGCATGCCGGCAGCCGGCACGCTTTGGCCCGGGACTGCCAGATTTAGCAAAGATACAGGACGCCCAGTTACGTGCGAATGTCAGATAAATGACGGCCAGCTTTCTAGATAAGGGAGACACCGTCCCTCCCCCACTGCTGCAGAGCTGTGATTCCTCTCGGCCACATATGGAACATGGTTATACGAAACAAACTGCTTTAAAACACCACTCACGGCCGAAACCGGTTTGGCTCAGTGGATAGAGCGTCGGCTTGGGGACTGAAAGGTCCCGGGTTCGATTCCGGTCAAGGGCATGTGCCTTGGTTGCAGGCATATCCCCAGTGGGGGGTGTGCAAGAGGCAGCTGACTGATGACTCTCTCTCATCGGTGTTTCTAACTTTCTATCTCTCTCCCTTCCTCTCTGTACAAAATCAATAAAAATATATTTAAAAAACCACTCACGGACACAGACATCGGTTCGGTGGTCACCAGAGGCAGGGGCTTGGGGGAAGGAAAGGGTAAAGGGGGTCAGATATAAGGTGACAGAGACGTGACTTTGGGTGGTGGGCACAGACGATGTATCAGAACTGCACGCTTGAAACTTATATAATTTATTAAGCCATGTCACCCCAATAGACTTAGTTAAAAAGAAAAAAAAAAATTTTTAAGTCTGACTTTCAAATGTGTGTCCTGAATTTTGTCCGGAGCCAACCCAGGCCCCTGGCACCCATCACCCCCATTCTTCCCGTCATCACCCTCACCCATCCCGGGGCGGGGGGGGGGGGGGGGGAGGAAGTGGGGACGCCTGGCCCTGAGTGGGGCAATGCAACGGCCCCGGGCTCGGGGCTATAAGAGGGCCAGGTGGGTGCAGGGGGCAGAGACACCGGGGCCCCCGCTCAACCATGACCCACAGCCGCAGACTCTCCGGCCCCGCCCTGGCCTCCTTCCTGCTGACCGTGCTGCTGGGCGGTGAGTGGAGCCACCTGTCTGGGCATCCATCCCTGCTTCTCCACCTACGCCCTCACGGGAAGGGGGGCCGGGTGGGGAGGCCCATCTCCAGAGGAGGAGCCGGAGGCTCAGCGTGGCGAGGGGCCGGTGAGCCGGGCGGGGGCGGGTCCGTGGGCGCGCCCTGGGCCCTCCAAAGCCAGAGGAAGCTCAGATGTCGCTGTGCCCGGGCAGGGGCGGTGGCAGGCCCCCTGTGCTCTCTGCACCGCCGTCTCCTCATCTGGCAACAAGCACGTGGAGAGTCCGGCCCGGAGGTTCTTGTGGGAGGGAGTTCAAGGCCAGCTGGCCCGCGGGGTGGGCTCCTCCCTGACACTCACCGCCCCATCCTGGCTGTCTGTCCCCAGGCCCCGTGCTGGCCTCCGAGATCGTGGGCGGCCGGCAGGCCCGGCCCCACGCGTGGCCCTTCATGGTGTCCCTGCAGCAGCGCGGACGCCACTTCTGTGGGGGGACCCTGGTGGCCCCCAACTTTGTCATGTCGGCTGCGCACTGTGTGAATGGCAGGTGAGTGTCTCCTGAGCCTGCCTTCCCTCTTCCCTCCGTCCCCACGTCTGTCCAAGCGGGGAGTGGGGCTGGAGGGGGGGTGAGACCAGGGTCTGGGCTCCTCCCGGGCGCCCCATCGATGCACCTGCTTCGCCAGGCCTGCGAGGGGGCATTCGGCCGAGGAGCCCGAGGACCAGCCCTGCGTGGGGAGGCATCCGTGGGCATGGGCCTGGGCTCTGGGGCCTCTCCCCCCCAAAACCCAAGAGCCACCTCGAATCCCCTCCCGCACCCGCTCTGCCGCAGAAACTTCCGGGCAGTGCAGGTGGTGCTGGGGGCACACAACCTGGGGCGGCGAGAGCCCACGCGGCAGCTGTTCGGCGTCCAGCGCATCTTCGAGAACGGCTTCGATGCCCAGCAGCTGGCGAACGACATCGTGCTCCTGCAGGTGGGGGGCGGGCGGGCGGGGTGCCCGGGTGGGGCAGGGAGGCCCGAGCAGGCATAAAGTCCTGGGCTGAGGAGTGGGGCCGGCAGAGAAGGGCTACAGACTGGGGGGCACACCTGGCTCTCACTGGGGAGGTCACCTCTGCGCCTCAGTCTCCACCGTGTCGCCTGGGAAATAAGCCCCAGCTGAGGGTTGTTGAGCGCGTGAACGGGAGGACGCAGAGTGCTCTGAGCAGCTGTCCGCCTCAGAGGGTTGTGATTATCCGTGCCCTGCAGCCGAGGGCGGGGACAGTCCCAGTCTCTGTGAAACGGAGCAAAAACCCCCACATTCCAGCCGGTGGGAAGAGCGTCCTCCCCCGCGGCTGGCAGAGCTGCTGGTTGTCACTGGTGTTGCCCAGTTTGGTGCCTGCTGTTTCCTGCGCTCAAGACATGTCCGAGTTCTCCCTGAGCCACTGTGGTTGCTTCCACTTCACAAACGGGGACACTGACCCTCGGGGTGGGGAGCATCCCGCAGGGTGGCCCTCCTGCTCCATAAAATCCCAGGTCTATTGCGGGGCCTCCGAGGGGAAACAGGCGCGGGAGGGGCACCCCCGCCCCATGTGACTCTTCGATGCCCTGTCCTGCCCCCTGCAGCTCAACGGCTCAGCCACCATCAACACCAACGTGCAGGTGGCCAGGCTGCCCCAGCAGGGCCAAGGTGTGGGCAACGGGGTCCGCTGCCTGGCCATGGGATGGGGCCAGCTGGGCACAAACCGGCCACCGCCCCGCGTCCTGCAGCAGCTCAACGTGACCGTGGTGACCGCCCTCTGCCCCTCCACCAACGTGTGCACGCTGGTGCCCCGCCGGCGCGCAGGCATCTGCTTCGTGAGTACCGACCCCTCCGCCTGCACCCCCCCTCTCCGCGCCCACCCCCGCCTGTCCGGGCCACGGCCTCCAGGACTGCGAGCCAGAACCCGGGAGGACTTCCCAGCCCCGAAGGGAGGCCTCGCCTGCTCACCTCCCCCGGCCCCGCACAGGGGGACTCCGGCGGGCCCCTGGTCTGCAACGAGCTGATCCACGGGATCGACTCCTTCATCCGCGGAGGCTGCGGCAACGGCTACTACCCGGACGCCTTCGCCCCCGTGGCGCAGTTCGCAGACTGGATCAACTCCGTCATCCGCCAACACGACGGCCGCCCTCGTCTCCACCCGGGGGACCCTGCGAGCAGGAGCCATTAGGAAGGGCTGCCCAGGCCCCCCGCCGCCCCTGCCCCCGGGCAGGCCCACCCAGGCTGCAGGATGCAGCATCTGACAGAATAAAGCCTTCTCTTTTGTAGTGTGTCTGGGTGTGTGTTGGTGGTGCCGTTGGAGATGGGAAGTAGTCAGGAGTAGGTTTGGCTCAGTGGATAGAGCATCGGCCTGTGGACTGAAAGGTCCCAGGTTCGATTCCGGTCGCGGGCACATCCTCCGTAGGGGGTTTGCAGGAGGCAGCTGATCGATGTTCCTCTCTCATCGAAGTTTTTAACTCTCTATCCCTCTCCCTTCATCTCTGTAAAAAATCAATAAAAAACATATTGTTAAAAAATAGAAAAGTAGTTAGGAGAGTGTTTGGGGCATCGCACGAGAATGCTGCCACCAGGGGGCAGCAAAACCAGGGCTTCGGGGTAAGAAGTTCCTTCCCCCTCTCCTGGCACACTGAGATGCCCCTGGCCGTTCCTGGTTTCCCTCCGTAAAGCTCACGCACACACGATGAAGTTCGCATTGAAGTGGTTATGACACCGGCGCCGTAGCCGGGGTCTGCTGAGCGCTCGCGGGTGCGGGAATCATTCTCCGTCTGTGCCGTGCTGGCTCACCTCCAGCCCCTGAGGCGCGGCCGAAACCCGAAACCGGTCTGGCTCAGCGGTAGAGCGTCGATCTGCGGACTAAAGGGTCTGCGGACTGAAGGGCCTCAGGTTCGATTCCGGTCAGGGGCATGTATGTTGGTTTTGGGCACATCCCCGGTGTGGGGGGGGAGGGGGGAGGGGTGCAGGAGGCAGTTGGTCGGTATTTCTCTCTCATCGACGTTTCTGGCTCTCTATCTCTCTCCCTTCCTCTCTGTAACAATAAAAATATTTTTAAAAAAGAAGAAAAAAAAAGTGGAGGTGCGGAGCGGGGGAGCCCTTCTCAGGAGCCTGAGTTCGAGTCCCAGCACTGCCTTTGGGCAACTTGGTGGCTGCCTCTGAACCTCTGTTTCCCCGCGGGGAGCAGTGAGAGCTGTCTGGGAAGGGAGCAGCCAGAGGTTGGGGTTTCACTGGGTGACAGAGACAGGTCCTCCCGAACCCCGGCCCTTTGCTCTGACAAGCGGGGCGGAGCCGAGCAGAAGATGCCCAAGGCATGCCCAGCCTCGGGGGAAGTTGCTGCCCTGGAGGAAGGGGGGAGGGGACGAGGAGGGACTTGACTGACTTGTACCCCTCTTCTGTCTTCCTGGGCCCAGGAAGGAGCCCTCTGGGGCACGTGATCCAGGCTCAGCCAATCAGAGGCAGCCTGCAGACAGTGGTGCAATGGGGAATTGGAGCAGGAGCCCGCCGAGTCGGGTTCCTGTGGCCACAACAGGGGATCCTGGTGAGGAGAGAAGCCATCGGGGAAGAAGGGGGAGACTAGCGGCAAAGACCTGACATTGTTCTAGGTGCCTGGATCAAGCCACACCTGAAGGCAGCCCTGAACTTTCCGTTAAAATGTCCTTGTTGAAGGCACAGTCTTTCCAGCTGCCCCTACACACCACCTTTCCAACACTCTGCTTGTTGGGTGCCAGGACCCAGAGGCACAGCAATGGGGACAAGGTGTAGGGTGACCTTATTCCCTCCCCCACCCAATTTCCTCTCCAAGTTGGAGAAAGAAGACAAAGAAGGGAGGTGCAGGGGGGAAAAGGGGGAGGGGGGAGGGGAAACACAAGGAAGTGAGTTGTTTACAAGCTGTGGCGAGGTACACAGAGGCGGGAGGCAGCCCTCACGGTGCAAAGTCCAGCAGAAGGAGAGGGGGGCAAACTGGCAGGCTCCCCCCATTGGACAGGCAGGGCTGCCCCTCCTCCCCCTGGAGCCGCCCCTCCTCCCACCCTCATGAGAGCGTCCCAGGCCCCGCGGGGTCAGTGTGGAGGCCACAGCAGCGCCATGGCAGACCTCCCCGTGCGCCTGGCGGCTCTGGCCCTTCTCGGAGCGGCCCTGTGTGGTGAGCGTGGGCCTGGGACTGGGCTGGCAGCAGGGGGCACCAGCCTGCTGGGTCGTCAGCCATGGGGCCCCTCCATCCAACAGGACTGCCCCCCCCCCCCAGCCCTCCTAGATAGGCAGAAAGGGGGCAGCGCCCAGCTGAACGGAAGGCTCTGAACGTCTGGGCATTCTCAGAACTTGGATCTGACACACAAGCTTTCCCCAGTGAGAACACGCAGCTCTGCCACGGAAACTGGCGGCCCGCCTGGCCCGTGGCTGCTGGGAGTGCTGGCTCCGTCTATCCCGCTTTTCTTATGTTTAAATCAAAGCTGTTAGGCTCCGTATACAGAAGGGAGTCAGCCCCAGACCCTGCTGTTCGACCCCCGCCCCCTCCTGCCCCGCCATCTGAATGTATGACCCTGGGGTGGGGGCTCCGATGGTGAGATTCCGGGCCTGAGGGGGCTGGGGTGGCCTGCGGGGGCCTCTGAGGGCTGGGCTGCAGCCCCCCGTGGGGTCCTCACGCCCACCTGCCTGCCCCCAGCGGCACAGCCCCGGGGCCGGATCCTGGGCGGCCAGGAGGCCCAGTCCCGCCAGTGGCCCTACATGGCGTCGGTGCAGGTGAACGGCACGCACGTGTGCGGCGGCTTCCTGGTGGCCGAGCAGTGGGTGCTGAGCGCGGCGCACTGCCTGGAGGACGTGTGAGTGGAGCTGGCGATGGGGGGGGGGGGGGGGGGACGACACAGAGCAGGGGTGTGACTGGGTAGAGGTCGGGGATGTGGATCTGACATGCACCCGCCCCAGCCCCAGGCCCAATGAGACCGTGAAGGTGCTCCTGGGCGCGCTCTCCCTGTCGGAACCTGAGCCATCCAAGCGCCTGTACGATGTGCTCCGCGCAGTGCCCCACCCCGGCAGCGGGCCGGACACCATCGACCACGACCTCCTTCTGCTGCAGGTCTGGCTGCACTCCCTCCTGCTGCATGCCCCCCCTCCCCCCGTGACCCTCAACCCTGCTCCTCACCTCCCCCTACCGGCCCCATGGAGTCCAGCCACAGTCCCTCCTGCTGCATGCCCTCCCCCCCCCCAACCTCCAACCCTGCTCCTCACCTCCCCCTACCGGCCCCACGGAGTCCAGCCACAGTCCCTCCTGCTGCATGCCCCCCCCCCCCAACCTCCAACCCTGCTCCCCACCTCCCCCTACCGGCCCCACGGAGTCCAGCCACAGTCCCTCCTGCTGCATGCTCTCCCTGAGCCCTGACCCCCGCCTCGCCCCACCCCCAGCTGTCTGAGAACGCCACCTTGGGCCCCGAGGTGAAGCTGCTGCCCTGGCAGCGCGAGGACCGCGATGTGGCCGCCGACACGCTCTGCGACGTGGCCGGCTGGGGCGTAGTGAGCCACACGGGCCGCCGGCCCGACCGCCTGCAACACTTGCTGCTGCGCGTGATGGACCGCGCCACCTGCAACCTGCGCAGGTTCCACGACGGCACCGTCACGAAGCGCATGATGTGCGCGGAGAGCCACCGCCGCCGAGACACCTGCAAGGTGCGGAGCCTGGAAGGCGGGCACTGGGCTGTGGGGTGTGCAGGGCAGGGACCTGGTGGGTGGGGCCTGCGGCGGTGGGTGGGGCCTGAGGGATTGGCGCGCGGGGGCGGGGAACCAGGTTGGGGCTGGAGGGAGGAGCGGGAATTGCAGCGGTTGAGCTTCGGAGTGGAGGGTGAGGGCGTGGGGGCTCTTGAGGGGGAAGGGGGGATAAATGCCCCCCTCACTGCCCTTTCTCACATAGGGTGACTCTGGGGGCCCTCTGGTGTGCAACGGCGTGGCCGAGGGCGTGGTCACCTCGGGATCCCGCGTGTGTGGTGACCCCAAGAAGCCAGGCATCTACACTCGCGTGGGGAGCTACACGGCCTGGATCGATAGCGTCATGGACGGAGGCGTGGCCTCCCCGGGAGACCCTGAGGGGCGGGGCCCCGAGGAGCAATAAAGTCATTCCCTCCCGCATCCCATCAGACTGCATGTTTTCTTTCTATGTTGTTTATTCATTTAATAAGAAGTGAAACCATATGGCAGTTGTCTTTCTCTGTCTGACTTAGCATGATACCCTCTAGGCCCTAGAGGTCTTCAAACTACGGCCCGCGGGCCACATGCGGCCGGCAGAGGAGTCTGATCCGGCCCGCCAGGTTTTTTGGGCAGTGAGCGCAGCCGAGGTGTTACAGTAGGAATTAGTAGTTCATATAGTCCGGCCCTCCAGCTCTCTGAGGGACCGTGATCTGGCCCCCACTTTAAAAAGTTTGAGGACCCCTGTTAGGGCCATCCATGCTGTTGCAAATAACAAGATTTCATTCTTTCTCGTGGCTGAGTAATATTCCATTGTATATGCACCATATTTTCTTTGTACATTTGCCTATCGATGGGCACTTGGGTTGTTTCATATTTTGGCCATCGTAAATAATGCTGCAACTGTCTTCAGCTAAATTTTATAGTCCCTTGCTGAAACGGGTTTGGCTCTGTGGATAGAGCGTCAGCCTGCAGACTGAAAGGTCCCGGGTTCGATTCCAGTCAAGGGCATGTACCTTGGTTGCGGGCACATCCCCAGTAAGGGGGTGTGCAAGAGGCAGCTGATCGATATTTCTCTCTCATCAATGTTTCTAACTCTCTATCCCTCTCTTCCTCTCTGTAAAAAATCAATAAAATATATATTTTTAAAATTTTATAATCCGAAAAAACAGTGCTCGAGGATTCCCTTTTCTTCATACCCTCACCAACTCTTGCTGTTTGTTGATTTATTATTATTTTTTAAATCCTATGTTACAACCACTTTTTTTTTTAAATCAATCTTTATTGTTCATATTATTACAAAGGTTCCTCATTTCTTCCCCCCTCCACCAGGTTTCCACCCCACCCTCCACCCCCTCCACCCCCTCCCCACCCCCCACTGTCCTCATCCATAGGTGCACAGTTTATGTTCAGTCTCTTCCCGCATCCACCACTCCTCCTTTCCCGGAGAACTGTCAGTCCACTCCCCTCCCGTATCCCCGACTCTACTACAATCAACAACTAATATTGTTCATCAGGTTTTTCAATCTTCTTTTGTTGTTGTTGTTGTTTTTAATTAATAAACTTTTACACTTCTAAGAATAAATTTTAAAATCTAATAATT